GGCTGTGAGCAGGGAAGCGGGGGGCAGTGAGGGGAGGTGGCTGTGAGCAGGGAAGGGGGGCAGTGAGGGAAGGTGGCTGTGAGCAGGGAAGCGGGGGGCAGTGAGGAGACCATTCTGGGGCCCCTGCTGTTGGGATATCCCAGCTGGGGGTGCTTGAGGGCACCCCAGCATTGCCAGAAGGCGGGGGCTGGGATGCTGTGCAGAAGTTCTGGGGCCTGGGAGCGTCTCCCCGATTTTCCTGCTCTCACCCAGGGCCGGGCCCTGTCCCCGCTTCTCACGGCCCGCGCTGGGCGCCTGCAGGGCCCCCACCCTGTAGCACCAGCCCAGGCCAGGGGGGCTGGTCACCGCCAGAGCCCCCTGCCCAGGACACAGCGCCAGGGCGAGAAGGGGTTGTGCTCGTGCACCCCCTACCCTCTGATACCCACAGGGAGTCCCTATGCCCCCTGTGCCCACGTGGCACCCGCCTGCTGGATAATGCCCCGTCCCCCCACATGGCCCACTTGCTGGACAATGCCCCCCCACGCATGCCCCAGCCAGGCGATTGCCCCCTGTGCCCACGTGGCACCCACCTGCAGGGTGATGGTGGAGAGCTGCCCAGCCGAGGCCCGCAGGAGGATGCTGCTGGCCTGCCGGGTGCGGAACATGAGCCCAATGTGCCAGGGCAGCGTGATGCTGAGGGCTGGGTTACTCCAGGCCACAAGGCTGCTGCCCAGGAACCGCTGGGGATTTGCCATTTCTGCCAGAGACAGGAGCTGAGTTTGGGGCCCTGAGCGCCACAGGGCCCCCCAATCGGGATCCGCCGCCGCCCCCCAACGGGCTGTGCAGGCACCCGGGGGACCAGCACTCAGGCGGTGGCATGTGGCTGCGATCCCTACTGGTCCCCTGCCTAGCTGTGTCCTAGAGTCACTTGCCTGGCCCCTGGAGCTCCCAGCCTGGCCCCCTCACCACAGCCTCTGCTGGCCCCCAGGACCTCCCTGGAGCCCCAGTGCGGCTCGAGGCAGAGACCCCACCCTGCCTGCAGGCCTTGCCCCAGAAGCCCAGCACTCAGGCGGTGGCATGTGGCTGCGATCCCTACTGGTCCCCTGCCTAGCTGTGTCCTAGAGTCACTTGCCTGGCCCCTGGAGCTCCCAGCCTGGCCCCCTCACCACAGCCTCTGCTGGCCCCCAGGACCTCCCTGGAGCCCCAGTGCGGCTCGAGGCAGAGACCCCACCCTGCCTGCAGGCCTTGCCCCAGAAGCCCAGGGAAGCTGGGGGCCGCTGGGCCCAGCCCCTGTCCTGCCTCCTGTCACACCAGGCCCGACCCACCCAACCATCCTGTGCGCAAAGCCCTGCTCCGCACAGCCCCTCGGCTGCATGCCGCACACCAGGCACCGTGCGCACTGCTCCTCTCAGAGCCCCTCAGCACAGCCCCCCAGCTCCTACCCCAGAGCTTCAGCACAGCCCCCCAGTTCCCGCCCCAGAGGCCCTCAGCACAGCCCCCCAGCTCCTACCCCAGAGCTTCAGCACAGCCCCCCAGTTCCCGCCCCAGAGGCCCTCAGCACAGCCCCCCAGCTCCTACCCCAGAGCTTCAGCACAGCCCCCCAGTTCCCGCCCCAGAGGCCCTCAGCACAGCCCCCCAGCTCCTACCCCAGAGCTTCAGCACAGCCCCCCAGTTCCCGCCCCAGAGGCCCTCAGCACAGCCCCCCAGCTCCTACCCCAGAGCTTCAGCACAGCCCCCCAGTTCCCGCCCCAGAGGCCCTCAGCACAGCCCCCCAGCTCCTACCCCAGAGCTTCAGCACAGCCCCCCAGTTCCCGCCCCAGAGGCCCTCAGCACAGCCCCCCAGCTCCTACCCCAGAGCTTCAGCACAGCCCCCCAGTTCCCGCCCCAGAGGCCCTCAGCACAGCCCCCCAGCTCCTACCCCAGAGCTTCAGCACAGCCCCCCAGTTCCCGCCCCAGAGGCCCTCAGCACAGCCCCCCAGCTCCTACCCCAGAGCTTCAGCACAGCCCCCCAGTTCCCGCCCCAGAGGCCCTCAGCACAGCCCCCCAGCTCCTACCCCAGAGCTTCAGCACAGCCCCCCAGTTCCCGCCCCAGAGGCCCTCAGCACAGCCCCCCAGCTCCTACCCCAGAGCTTCAGCACAGCCCCCCAGTTCCCGCCCCAGAGGCCCTCAGCACAGCCCCCCAGCTCCTACCCCAGAGCTTCAGCACAGCCCCCCAGTTCCCGCCCCAGAGGCCCTCAGCACAGCCCCCCAGCTCCTACCCCAGAGCTTCAGCACAGCCCCCCAGTTCCCGCCCCAGAGGCCCTCAGCACAGCCCCCCAGCTCCTACCCCAGAGCTTCAGCACAGCCCCCCAGTTCCCGCCCCAGAGGCCCTCAGCACAGCCCCCCAGCTCCTACCCCAGAGCTTCAGCACAGCCCCCCAGTTCCCGCCCCAGAGGCCCTCAGCACAGCCCCCCAGCTCCTACCCCAGAGCTTCAGCACAGCCCCCCAGTTCCCGCCCCAGAGGCCCTCAGCACAGCCCCCCAGCTCCTACCCCAGAGCTTCAGCACAGCCCCCCAGTTCCCGCCCCAGAGGCCCTCAGCACAGCCCCCCAGCTCCTACCCCAGAGCCCCTCAGCACAGCCCCCCAGCTCCCGCCCCAGAGCCTCAGCACAGCCCCCCAGCTCCTGCCTCAGAGCCTCAGCACAGCTCCCCAGCTCCTGCCTCAGAGCCTCAGCACAGCTCCCCAGCTCCTGCCTCAGAGCCTCAGCACAGCTCCCCAGCTCCTGCCTCAGAGCCTCAGCACAGCTCCCCAGCTCCTGCCTCAGAGCCTCAGCACAGCTCCCCAGCTCCTGCCTCAGAGCCTCAGCACAGCTCCCCAGCTCCTGCCTCAGAGCCTCAGCACAGCTCCCCAGCTCCTGCCTCAGAGCCTCAGCACAGCTCCCCAGCTCCTGCCTCAGAGCCTCAGCACAGCTCCCCAGCTCCTGCCTCAGAGCCTCAGCACAGCTCCCCAGCTCCTGCCTCAGAGCCTCAGCACAGCTCCCCAGCTCCTGCCTCAGAGCCTCAGCACAGCTCCCCAGCTCCTGCCTCAGAGCCTCAGCACAGCTCCCCAGCTCCTGCCTCAGAGCCTCAGCACAGCTCCCCAGCTCCTGCCTCAGAGCCTCAGCACAGCTCCCCAGCTCCTGCCTCAGAGCCTCAGCACAGCTCCCCAGCTCCTGCCTCAGAGCCTCAGCACAGCTCCCCAGCTCCTGCCTCAGAGCCTCAGCACAGCTCCCCAGCTCCTGCCTCAGAGCCTCAGCACAGCTCCCCAGCTCCTGCCTCAGAGCCTCAGCACAGCTCCCCAGCTCCTGCCTCAGAGCCTCAGCACAGCTCCCCAGCTCCTGCCTCAGAGCCTCAGCACAGCTCCCCAGCTCCTGCCTCAGAGCCTCAGCACAGCTCCCCAGCTCCTGCCTCAGAGCCTCAGCACAGCTCCCCAGCTCCTGCCTCAGAGCCTCAGCACAGCTCCCCAGCTCCTGCCTCAGAGCCTCAGCACAGCTCCCCAGCTCCTGCCTCAGAGCCTCAGCACAGCTCCCCAGCTCCTGCCTCAGAGCCTCAGCACAGCTCCCCAGCTCCTGCCTCAGAGCCTCAGCACAGCTCCCCAGCTCCTGCCTCAGAGCCTCAGCACAGCTCCCCAGCTCCTGCCTCAGAGCCTCAGCACAGCTCCCCAGCTCCTGCCTCAGAGCCTCAGCACAGCTCCCCAGCTCCTGCCTCAGAGCCTCAGCACAGCTCCCCAGCTCCTGCCTCAGAGCCTCAGCACAGCTCCCCAGCTCCTGCCTCAGAGCCTCAGCACAGCTCCCCAGCTCCTGCCTCAGAGCCTCAGCACAGCTCCCCAGCTCCTGCCTCAGAGCCTCAGCACAGCTCCCCAGCTCCTGCCTCAGAGCCTCAGCACAGCTCCCCAGCTCCTGCCTCAGAGCCTCAGCACAGCTCCCCAGCTCCTGCCTCAGAGCCTCAGCACAGCTCCCCAGCTCCTGCCTCAGAGCCTCAGCACAGCTCCCCAGCTCCTGCCTCAGAGCCTCAGCACAGCTCCCCAGCTCCTGCCTCAGAGCCTCAGCACAGCCCCCCAGCTCCTGTCTCAGCCACCTGGCACACACCAGGCACGGTGCCATTGTTGGAGATGAAGTCAGCCATGTCCAGCTGTCGGTTGTCAATCATCAGGTTTCTCATGCAGCCCATGAAGTGCCGGCTCCGCACAGGGAAATTCTCCGGCAGGTCGGGAACCCCACCTAGAAGCAGGGGGCCAGTCAAATCCAGGGACCTGAGTCAGGCAAACAGATTGACAGTGAGACACGGCCACGGGCTGGGAGATTCCTCCCCATTCACCATCCAGAACCAAGGACCAGAAAAGCCTCTATTGCTCCCTGCGGGCGGGGAGCGAGGGGCCCTGGCAGAGAAGGGGAGCAGAGCCGGGCTGGCAGGGGCCGCGGGCGGGGAGCGAGGGGCCCTGGCAGAGAAGGGGAGCAGAGCCGGGCTGGCAGGGGCCGCGGGCGGGGAGCGAGGGGCCCTGGCAGAGAAGGGGAGCAGAGCCGGGCTGGCAGGGGCCGCGGGCGGGGAGCGAGGGGCCCTGGCAGAGAAGGGGAGCAGAGCCGGGCTGGCAGGGGCCGCGGGCGGGGAGCGAGGGGCCCTGGCAGAGAAGGGGAGCAGAGCCGGGCTGGCAGGGGCCGCGGGCGGGGAGCGAGGGGCCCTGGCAGAGAAGGGGAGCAGAGCCGGGCTGGCAGGGGCCGCGGGCGGGGAGCGAGGGGCCCTGGCAGAGAAGGGGAGCAGAGCCGGGCTGGCAGGGGCCGCGGGCGGGGAGCGAGGGGCCCTGGCAGAGAAGGGGAGCAGAGCCGGGCTGGCAGGGGCCGCGGGCGGGGAGCGAGGGGCCCTGGCAGAGAAGGGGAGCAGAGCCGGGCTGGCAGGGGCCGCGGGCGGGGAGCGAGGGGCCCTGGCAGAGAAGGGGAGCAGAGCCGGGCTGGCAGGGGCCGCGGGCGGGGAGCGAGGGGCCCTGGCAGAGAAGGGGAGCAGAGCCGGGCTGGCAGGGGCCGCGGGCGGGGAGCGAGGGGCCCTGGCAGAGAAGGGGAGCAGAGCCGGGCTGGCAGGGGCCGCGGGCGGGGAGCGAGGGGCCCTGGCAGAGAAGGGGAGCAGAGCCGGGCTGGCAGGGGCCGCGGGCGGGGAGCGAGGGGCCCTGGCAGAGAAGGGGAGCAGAGCCGGGCTGGCAGGGGCCGCGGGCGGGGAGCGAGGGGCCCTGGCAGAGAAGGGGAGCAGAGCCGGGCTGGCAGGGGCCGCGGGCGGGGAGCGAGGGGCCCTGGCAGAGAAGGGGAGCAGAGCCGGGCTGGCAGGGGCCGCGGGCGGGGAGCGAGGGGCCCTGGCAGAGAAGGGGAGCAGAGCCGGGCTGGCAGGGGCCGCGGGCGGGGAGCGAGGGGCCCTGGCAGAGAAGGGGAGCAGAGCCGGGCTGGCAGGGGCCGCGGGCGGGGAGCGAGGGGCCCTGGCAGAGAAGGGGAGCAGAGCCGGGCTGGCAGGGGCCGCGGGCGGGGAGCGAGGGGCCCTGGCAGAGAAGGGGAGCAGAGCCGGGCTGGCAGGGGCCGCGGGCGGGGAGCGAGGGGCCCTGGCAGAGAAGGGGAGCAGAGCCGGGCTGGCAGGGGCCGCGGGCGGGGAGCGAGGGGCCCTGGCAGAGAAGGGGAGCAGAGCCGGGCTGGCAGGGGCCGCGGGCGGGGAGCGAGGGGCCCTGGCAGAGAAGGGGAGCAGAGCCGGGCTGGCAGGGGCCGCGGGCGGGGAGCGAGGGGCCCTGGCAGAGAAGGGGAGCAGAGCCGGGCTGGCAGGGGCCGCGGGCGGGGAGCGAGGGGCCCTGGCAGAGAAGGGGAGCAGAGCCGGGCTGGCAGGGGCCGCGGGCGGGGAGCGAGGGGCCCTGGCAGAGAAGGGGAGCAGAGCCGGGCTGGCAGGGGCCGCGGGCGGGGAGCGAGGGGCCCTGGCAGAGAAGGGGAGCAGAGCCGGGCTGGCAGGGGCCGCGGGCGGGGAGCGAGGGGCCCTGGCAGAGAAGGGGAGCAGAGCCGGGCTGGCAGGGGCCGCGGGCGGGGAGCGAGGGGCCCTGGCAGAGAAGGGGAGCAGAGCCGGGCTGGCAGGGGCCGCGGGCGGGGAGCGAGGGGCCCTGGCAGAGAAGGGGAGCAGGGCCGGGCTGGCAGGGGCCGCGGGCGGGGAGCGAGGGGCCCTGGCAGAGAAGGGGAGCAGGGCCGGGCTGGCAGGGGCCGCGGGCGGGGAGCGAGGGGCCCTGGCAGAGAAGGGGAGCAGGGCCGGGCTGGCAGGGGCCGCGGGCGGGGAGCGAGGGGCCCTGGCAGAGAAGGGGAGCAGGGCCGGGCTGGCAGGGGCCGCGGGCGGGGAGCGAGGGGCCCTGGCAGAGAAGGGGAGCAGGGCCGGGCTGGCAGGGGCCGCGGGCGGGGAGCGAGGGGCCCTGGCAGAGAAGGGGAGCAGGGCCGGGCTGGCAGGGGCCGCGGGCGGGGAGCGAGGGGCCCTGGCAGAGAAGGGGAGCAGGGCCGGGCTGGCAGGGGCCGCGGGCGGGGAGCGAGGGGCCCTGGCAGAGAAGGGGAGCAGGGCCGGGCTGGCAGGGGCCGCGGGCGGGGAGCGAGGGGCCCTGGCAGAGAAGGGGAGCAGGGCCGGGCTGGCAGGGGCCGCGGGCGGGGAGCGAGGGGCCCTGGCAGAGAAGGGGAGCAGGGCCGGGCTGGCAGGGGCCGCGGGCGGGGAGCGAGGGGCCCTGGCAGAGAAGGGGAGCAGGGCCGGGCTGGCAGGGGCCGCGGGCGGGGAGCGAGGGGCCCTGGCAGAGAAGGGGAGCAGGGCCGGGCTGGCAGGGGCCGCGGGCGGGGAGCGAGGGGCCCTGGCAGAGAAGGGGAGCAGGGCCGGGCTGGCAGGGGCCGCGGGCGGGGAGCGAGGGGCCCTGGCAGAGAAGGGGAGCAGGGCCGGGCTGGCAGGGGCCGCGGGCGGGGAGCGAGGGGCCCTGGCAGAGAAGGGGAGCAGGGCCGGGCTGGCAGGGGCCGCGGGCGGGGAGCGAGGGGCCCTGGCAGAGAAGGGGAGCAGGGCCGGGCTGGCAGGGGCCGCGGGCGGGGAGCGAGGGGCCCTGGCAGAGAAGGGGAGCAGGGCCGGGCTGGCAGGGGCCGCGGGCGGGGAGCGAGGGGCCCTGGCAGAGAAGGGGAGCAGGGCCGGGCTGGCAGGGGCCGCGGGCGGGGAGCGAGGGGCCCTGGCAGAGAAGGGGAGCAGGGCCGGGCTGGCAGGGGCCGCGGGCGGGGAGCGAGGGGCCCTGGCAGAGAAGGGGAGCAGGGCCGGGCTGGCAGGGGCCGCGGGCGGGGAGCGAGGGGCCCTGGCAGAGAAGGGGAGCAGGGCCGGGCTGGCAGGGGCCGCGGGCGGGGAGCGAGGGGCCCTGGCAGAGAAGGGGAGCAGGGCCGGGCTGGCAGGGGCCGCGGGCGGGGAGCGAGGGGCCCTGGCAGAGAAGGGGAGCAGGGCCGGGCTGGCAGGGGCCGCGGGCGGGGAGCGAGGGGCCCTGGCAGAGAAGGGGAGCAGGGCCGGGCTGGCAGGGGCCGCGGGCGGGGAGCGAGGGGCCCTGGCAGAGAAGGGGAGCAGGGCCGGGCTGGCAGGGGCCGCGGGCGGGGAGCGAGGGGCCCTGGCAGAGAAGGGGAGCAGGGCCGGGCTGGCAGGGGCCGCGGGCGGGGAGCGAGGGGCCCTGGCAGAGAAGGGGAGCAGGGCCGGGCTGGCAGGGGCCGCGGGCGGGGAGCGAGGGGCCCTGGCAGAGAAGGGGAGCAGGGCCGGGCTGGCAGGGGCCGCGGGCGGGGAGCGAGGGGCCCTGGCAGAGAAGGGGAGCAGGGGACCCGCCCCTCTGTGTGGGAGGCTCCAGCAAGTCTTACTTCTTGGTGCCCGACTGCGTCCCCTGTGCGGAGCAGGAATAGTTCCCCAGCAACTCCCCGAACTTCAGGGCCACGGCCGTGTCGCAGTCGTCCACCGTTACCGTGGCCACCTTCTGCTCCGAGGGCCCCTGTGGCACCCCTGACTTGCCAATGAGAGGCTGTGGAGAGAGAGAGAGCTGAGGGCACAGCAGGGGCTGTGGCAGGGCAGAGACACTTTGGTACCATCCCATCACTGGAGCGGCCAGCAGTCTCCTCCTCAGAGGGACCACTCCCCAGAGCAGAGGGGTCCCCAGGTTGCCTGAGACCCAGGTCTTAGGCATGTGGGGACAGGGAGACCAGCTGACCCAGCAGAGCCGCTTCACCATCACCTGCATGGCCAGCTCACGGCCTGACATCATCCTGAGCCGGCTGTCAGCCCAGCCTGGCCAGGGGCCCATGGGACGCTGGCCCTGCCATGGCCCGGGGCAATCAGGCTGCAGGACTCTGGCAAACAGTGAACTACAGCCAATGGGAGCTGCGAGGTTCCATGGCTGCGCAGCTGGTGAGTAAAAAACCAGAGTGGCCGGGTAGCAGCTTTCGCGGAGCAGTTCCGTTTGAGAAACACTGCCCTGGACTAAGGAAAAGGCAAACGTAGCGCCCACCTTAAAAAAGGGATGCAGGAGAATCCGAGGAACTAGAGACCAATCAGCCTCACCTCGGGTCCTGAACAAATCAGAGAGCAAGGACTCAAGGAACCAAGTTTGAATCACTTGGAGGAGGAGGTGATCAGGAAAAGTCACTATGGATTCACCAAAGGCCTGACCCCTCTGATTGCCTTCTAGGACAAGGTACCTGGCTCCATGGCTATGGGGAAGGCAGTGATCCTGGTGCACCTTGACTTCAGCAAAACTGTTGATTCTTGCCAGCAAGTTAAGGAAGTATGGATTGGATACGTGGCTAGAAAGCTGGCTAGATTGTTGAGCTCAATGGGTAGTGATCCACAGCTCCAATATCTGGTTGGTGGTCAGTTGCAAACGGAGTGCCCCAAGCAGGGCTGGCTTTAGGAAGTGCAGGGGCCAATTCGAATAATTTTGATGGGGCCCTGCAGCAAAATTTTGGTTGAGGAAAAAAAAAAAACCCCACACACACACACACCCCACACGCGCACACACCCCGCACGCACGCGCGCACACACACACACTGCACACGCGCACACACACACACACACACACACTGCACACACACCACACGCGCGCACACACACACACACTGCACACACACACAAATGTTTCAACAGGGGGCCCACACTCCTCCTCCAGAGCCGACGCCCCCTCCCGCAGCATGCCCGGCACACTTCTGGGCAGGGGCGGCAGGTTTGTATAATTTTTGGTGGTGTCCATTAGCCACACCCCGTGACCCCTGTTAACCACTCCCATTAGCAACACCCTCTGGCCCCCATTAACCACATCTCTGGAGGTAACACGCTCGGGGCAAGATGGACACATGACCAGAAGTAAAAGGGCACACACACCGCACGCGTGCACACACACACACCGCACACACACACACACACACACTGCACACACACACAAATGTTTCAACAGGGGGCCCACACTCCTCCTCCAGAGCCGACGCCCCCTCCCGCAGCATGCCCGGCACACTTCTGGGCAGGGGCGGCAGGTTTGTATAATTTTTGGTGGTGTCCATTAGCCACACCCCGTGACCCCTGTTAACCACTCCCATTAGCAACACCCTCTGGCCCCCATTAACCACATCTCTGGAGGTAACACGCTCGGGGCAAGATGGACACATGACCAGAAGTAAAAGGTGTCACGTCACCCCTCTTGAAAGTCTTTTCCCACCATCCTCCTACCAACAGGGATTAGTTTGGCCCCCACCAAACCCCCCTCATGCAACTATCCTGCAATTGCATTAACCCAACGTGTGTGACATTAACTCGGGGGCAGAGAGGCTTGGGGAAGTGTTCCCTCTAAGGCTATGTCTACACTAGTGGCTTCTTGCGCAAGTACAGCCGTTCTTGCGTAAGAACCCGCAGAGCAGCCACACTGCCCACCTGCCCTTGCGCAAGGAAATATACAGTATGGCGTGGTAACACGGGCACTGCATTGGGGACCACTGCTCTAAGGCTATGTCTACACTCACGGCTTCTTGCACAAGACCCCACAGAGCAGCCACACTGCCCGCCTGCTCTTGCACAAGAGCATTTACAGTCCGGCGTGGTAGGAGAGGGCGTCTTGCACAAGAGCTACGCTCTTTTCTAACAGGTGTAAGCTCTCTTGCGCAAGAGGGCAGCGTGGACGCTCAGCAGGGATTTCTTGTGCAAGAAACCCTTATGGCTAAAATGGCCATCGGAGCTTTCTTGCCAAGAGAGCGTCCACACTGCCATGGATGCTCTTGCGCAAAAGCACAGCTCGCACATGGCAGTGTGGACGTGTTCTTGTGCAAGACTTCTTGCACAAGAACCCTTGCGCAAAATGTTCTTGCGGAAGAAGCCGCCAGTGTAGACATAGCCTAAGAGTTTCTTCCCATGTGCAGAATGAATTTTGTGTTGTGCACCAGTACTGAGTTCATGTGGCTTGTTTGGATGTGCCACTGTGGCACCCAAGTTATTTATAAATATTTTATAAACCTTTACCTTTTCTCTCTGCTGCCATGTCTCCTCCCCTTGCTCCATCAGCTTCCCTGGTGCCTGCTGCCCCCCAACTCCTCACCCTCCTCTGCTGTCCTGACTCCTGCCCTTCTCACTTCCCTCAGCCCTCCTGCAACCTGCCCCCCTCCACCAGCCCTTCTCTGCCCCCTGTGCCCACTGCTCCAGTAGCCCCACTCTGATCATGTGAGCTACCCCTCTTCTAACACCTAAATTATATGGAGATTGCATATCTCCTAGAACTGGAAGGGACCTTGAAAGGTCACTGAGTTGAGTCCAGTCCCCTACCTTCACAGCAGGACCAAGTACCATCCCCTGACAAATTTTTGCCCCAGATACCCTCTGCAAGGTTTATACTCACAATGCTGGGTTTAGCAAGCCAATGCTCAAACCACTGAGCTATCCCTCTCCCCTCTACACACCTCTATCTACATATACACTTGGCCTGCCTCTCTCCTCTGGTGCTGGTCCCTCCCCTGCAGGTATCTGCCCTTCTTCTTCACCCCAGAATCCTCTGGCACCTGCACCTTCCCTTAGCCCTGCACTCTGCTGGTGCCTCCCCCTTCCCTTACTGCCCCTGCTCCCGATACTCACCCCCTCACCACTCTCTGCCCCTTCCCTTCCTGCCCCTCTGTGCCCTCACACATGCCTTGCTCCCTCC